GGCAGCTTAGAGCGAGCAGAAACTTTCTTCCTTTTACTAATCGGAGTTGTAGACTGCCCTTGAGTTATTTCAGGTTGAGTCTCTTCCTCTCTGACAATGTCCTCTGATGAATCCATCTATACATAGGAAACTTGTAAACAATCAGATAGCAAACTAATAAAACAAAATAACAATCAAAGCTATAAAACTAATCAATTAACTATTTATAAAAAGACAGCTAACTGGCAATATTATTGGAATCGATTTACTATACTCTAAAATCATTGAGTAAATAAATCTGGTCTTTACCAGAAGCTCTGCTGGTCATTCACTTTTGTACAAGTTGCATCTAAAGTAGAGACAAAGCTAATATTGCAAATGAGGGAAGAATCAAGTAAATTTCGTATAAGAAAAACTTGAATTGTGCCAAATTTGATCTACATGCTCTTCTAAACTTTTAACTGGAAATAATGTTAATGATTTCTCTCTTTTATCAGCCTCAAAGAGACGAAAAACAGCAAAGTATACAAGAAATTTCCATGGATGTATACTACAACTATTAGCTTACACTAAAAAATGATAAAAGTTTCAATCTTTAACCAGAAAAATTACACAGGAACGAATCACAGACTGAAAAAGGTGTTTTTTTCTTACCTCTGAGAACAAATTGAAATCGAACAGAACAATAAAGCAGAACAAATTCAAATCAAAGTCACAAACATTGGGTTTCATAATCAAACACGATTTAAGAACAGAAAAGAAGGAAAAGCTTGTACCTTAGATTGATTAATCGACGCCTCTGATGGTAGAGAGGCTTGAAGGCAGTGTGCTTCCAGATTGCGGTAGGTTAAGGCTGCTAGGTTTTTCAATTTTATGTAATGGGAACCGCTGACTACTCGATATTTTAGGGAAAGTGTCGAGATTAAGGGAGATTCATTCAGATTCATTCAAATATTTAGGGAGATTTAGGCATAACTGCATAAGGGGTGAAGATATGCTTAGGGATTTCGTTCGAATTTGTTTCGGATTC